CTGAAGAAAAAGTGCGAAGGTTCCTCTCCACCAACTATACCTTAGCTAGGACAGCCAAATAAGTGCTGAGCTCGAGCACAAATAACTATTGTCTGATCTCAGGATATAGACCCCACTTGAACCTTCTAGCCTTTCTGCTTTCATCCGTCATGCTCTCTGGGGAATACCGGCCCAACTCTAGGAACTTGCGAGCATATTCTGATACAATCATGTTTTTCTGGGCCAAGTGTCCTTCAGATGTCGGAGATGCTCTGGGAGGTACTCTGCATGAAAGGCCGTCAGTAACTGTTCCCAAGTGACTGGAAAAGACAGGGTGGCTTGCTTGAGTTGCCACCAGCGGTCTGCTTCTCCCACCAGCATATAGGTAGCAACGATGACTTTCTGTTCGGGAGTCACTCCAAGCATCATGAAGGCCTTCTCTGTCTCAGCTAACCAATACTCGGTCTCTTCAAATGAGGATCTCCTTATAAAAGTAGATGGATTTAGTCTTTTATACTTCTCGATGTAGCCTGGGTCTATCATGAGAGGAGTTGGGCCCCATGGAAGAGGGACTAGACTATACTGAGGATGGATTGGGCGGCCCTGCGGTGGTACTGGGTGATACGGTGGAGGCACCGGATTGTAATGTGGTGGTACCGAATGATGCGGTTGGGGCACCGAGCCATACTGTGGTGGTGCCGGGTGATAGTGTGGCTGGGGCACCAGATTATATTGGGCTGGTGCTGGGTGATACTGTGGAGGAGTAGGGTTGTATCGGGGGGCTTAGGATCCTCTCGCTGGAGAGGTGGCTCAACTTATGGTAGCAGGGGAGGGTCAGGTAACTCCCTCCTTTTCTCCCGCGCCTGCTGGGCAGCGATGAGTCTCTTCAATATCTCAAATAACCAGTCAACATCCTCTTATAGTGAACCCTCCCAGGATGCTAGGTTTAGTGGGGGTTTCCCTCTCCTCATCTATTTGTACCTGCATTTCACAAGGAACAATTGAGTGATAATTCATTGTTTATTGTGTTTCCTAAGGATTTTGTGTAAGGAATGAGTCTGAGGAATGCGGCTCTGATACCAACTGTAACGATCCCAGAATTTCAAGAGAAATTATCATAAATTAAGTGCGGAAACGAAATAATCAGTTAGGGTTTGCAT